TTTTATTATGTTACGGCATTTACAGCTGAACGCAGGGGTGTGGTTATTGGCTTACAAATGGCTTGGAATTTGAGGTATAGAAGATTAATTTTGGGGTGTGACAATCATTTTTTAATACACAGATTGAAGAAGGCTGATCATGATACATAAGTTGAATCTCAATCTTGACTTATGCTCTGTCCTTACTATCAAGAGATTGAAAGATTTGTACACTTGAGCTATGTGTATTGGGAGGACAATGTTTGTGTCGAGTGAATTTAGAAACGCGATTTATTCACACATCTCCTTACTATTTTTATAATCTCTGATGTAATCAAGGTTGGAACTTTCAACTAGTTGGTGGTTGGGTTTTTTTTTTTTTTTTTTCATTTTTTTTTTCCCTTATACCCTTTGCTTTAGAAAAACAAAAGCAAATAATTTTTTTTCTAACATTCTATATATTAGGTAAAGTAAATTTTTCATTCTTAGATTTGGAGCACACTGTAAATTTTTCATTCTTAGATTTTTTTTCTAACATTCTATATAATAGGTGCTATGTTCGGTTCACAATGTATTAAAAAAAATTGAGCACTCTGTCTCTGTCTCTGTTGAGTAAATTGCGTTGGCTATTTAATTTGGAATCATTGTTTTTGGTGATATAATTCAGAATCTTCTCAATGAATATCTCTCACGTACACCGAAAATCACAAATTAGATTTTCAATTCAATATTGATTATTACAATGACCACAATTTGCCGTTACCACTCACTGAAGTGGTAAGTTCTTTGTTTTTTAATTAAATTTTAACAAGAATATTTTTCATTGAAGTGAAAATTTTGATCATGCGAATGTTATTTATTTATTTTTATGTGATTTTAGTCATTCAACTATGGGCTAAAACACTAGTTGAATGAAAAAGAAAAGATTAATATTAACACAATAGCTGGTATATAGCAGTGGCCTTAGTGATTCAAGTTCAACTTGTCAACCCATTGTTGGGTCACCCAGATTCTGATGAGTATATTCAATATTTAGCATCTCTGAGCAAATTTATTATTGAAATCGCCAGTTTTGCCACCACTTGAGAGGAAGGACAAATAGGATATGATCCTGTCATGCGAAAAAAAAATATGATATAGTTATGCGGGGAATTATATTTATACAAAGATGGTCAATCATACAAAAAAGAGAAAAAATTAAATGGAAAATTAACAATTCATAACCGTTGATTTACTTTTGCGTGTTTATGATCTTCCCACATGATCATATCATATATATATTTTTTCGGATACGAGAGAATCTATTTCCGAAAAAAATATGAATCCCTCATGCATCATCAGATCACGTGTTTGTCCTAACAGTTTTGGGGGTGTATGATAATACTTGTAAGAATAACTTTTCTTTTATTTGTAATTTGGTGAAGAGAAATGATTTGAATTGTGTTTAATAAAATTTATTTATTTTTCTTTATAAATAATGAATAGATTGTCTAAAAATAAAATTTGATAAAAAAGATTAACAACATTTTTCAGCCCATTCATTTCCAGGCACATAAATAGAAAAAAAAACATATTTCTCTTCAGGATGAGTACATAATGATGGTCATAAACATCTTTTATATATGACAAAAAGTTTTGACCAATGATAAAATACCCAAGAAGATTGAAAAAGCGTTATTAAATTGATCATATCTTATCTAATAATTAAAAAAGAGTTTAAATTACAATCAACAGTTTTTTGTTGTTGACACGATTATAATAATTTTATTGTGATTGGAGATAATTGCGATGATAAAATAAAATGCTACAAAAATAATTGCATTGCCAATCGCACTATTAATTGTAACTGCGCAATTTGAAATCTGATAAAAGAAATATTAACTTTTTTTTTTTCCAAAAAGTATAATTCAAGAATCAATTAAGAATACATCGCTATTATGGAGCGAGATTTGCAAAGATATTTTTTAATTACTATTCGTTTTACCTTCATAAAATTTTGAATCAGATAGCAAATGCAGATTAGTCGAGTACACAAAACCCAAGAATAAATAATTTATTTTAATTACTTAATAACATGTTTGAAAAAAAAATTATTTTTAAAGTAAGAGCATAAGTTCCAAAAAATACCTATCTGGAAGATTCCAACTTTCATTTTATGAATAAAGGGATGTATTTATCTCCTTTTAAACGAGAGAAATAATTTTTCTATACACATAAAAAAGAGATGGATGCCAACAAAGGTGGGCACAATTGGCTAAGGGTTTGGTTCATACCCCTCAAGGGCGTGGGTTCAAACTCCGCTGGCCGATGTGAGGACTTTGTTGGTGGGTGATATGTAATTCCTTCCAGAAATTCTCAAAGAGGTTGAGGGATCTTCCCTGACCCTAGTGTGATACCGGTGTCGAACCCCACTTAAACTTCTATATATCAAAAAAAAAAAAAAAAGATGGATCCCATCACTTTTTTTTTCTCTCCTCTTATATGTGGGTCCCACTTATAATTTTATTTCTACAATATAAATAAACTATTTTCCATGAATAAATTGCATTCCGAAAGGTAACTCTAATACATACATTGTTATTCTACATGTTGGCACAAGCATTATTACTGTTTTTATGAACAGGGTTTATTTGTACAATCTATTCTCTTCATAATAGGGAAATGATACTCTCATGCAACATAAGATACCTATCTCATGTTATACACTCATAGAATTTTGTGCCAATTTTTTCTTTTCTTTTTTCTTTTCATTTTAAATTGTGGACCCCACATATTTGTATCACCCACATGAGATAGTACTCTCATGTAACATAAGATTAATAAACCCCTTCATAATAAGGATAGAACATTAAGTCAAGAGTGAAGATTAAGCTTTTGTACTATCAACCTTCAATTTGCGTATTAAAATCTGATTATCACGTTTCAAAATTAATTTGATTATTTGAAACTTTAAAATTTTCCAAAATGTATAATTGAAGATCAATCAATCAAAGATACGCCATTATTATTGAGTGAGAATTGCGAAGTTATTTTTTAATTAGTATTTATTTTACCTTACTCTATATAAATCTTTTGAATTCAGATACATAAATGGAAGCTTGGAAGCTTTTTTTTATAAAAATATTTGGATATCTTATGTTTCTTTGTAAAATTAATGGGTATTATAAGTTTAATTTTTTTTGTTAAATTATTAAATACTAAATACAATATACACTACATAAATTAAAAATATTATATAATATCAAAACGTGTTCTAACGTGTCAAAATTTAACATCTTTTAGAATTAGCATGTCTGAATATCGTGTCATGTCGTATTTTGTGTCCCGTATCGGTGTCGATGCAACATAAGTTATAACATGAAATATTTTTTTCGCTCTACTCAATATGTGGAAAGTGAAAAAAAGTAACTTTTTATTTTATAAATATGTATTAGTGGAAGTATATAGAGTAAAAAATTAAAAGACATAACTGACCTCTTTGAGAAGGAGAACAAAGGACAACAGTAAACCCTATAATAAAATATACATTTACATGTGATAAATATACAAACAGAAGCTTTATAATTAATAAGGACTTATATAATTTCGCGTTATCACTAAATAAACATATTAATGAGTGCCGTGAAGGAGTGTGCGAAACTCATTTAATAATTAAAAAAAATAAAAGATATTTCGTGAGGGCCAGACCCAACCCTGCTCTGGAAAAGAAATTTTCATACGAAAAAAATATTTGCATTTTCGAAGGATATAAACAATCCAAACTGTTTATGCAATGTTTTCATTTTCTGAATGTTTGGGAGTCAACCCCCGTTCAACGCATGATGTCTCTGCGTTTTGATAGTTGTTTGCTTTGAAAACATACTGAGTCGTAATAGGTCACAAGAACAATGTTCGTGGGGTCTATATATCTCAACAATGTGCCTTTGGCTGAGAAGAGGTATATTTGTTTATGTTTGAGAGCTCAATTTGTTAGATTTTGCTGTTTAAATTGGCTCATTCTTTGTAAAAAAATATATTTATCATGTTATATGGGATAAATTTTTTTATGTAATATATAAAAAAGTAGGTAAGACCCCTAAAAAAATAAGAGTAAGAAAAAAAAATAAATCCCACCTATTTTTTATGTATTGTATTAGATAAATTTTCTTACATATTTTTCTTCTTTTTACCTAGATAACATTGTCCAATTAGAAAACACCCAAGAAAAAGGATAAATAAGCACACATGTGATCATTATACCTAATATAACCCCTTTAAAAACGGTAATCACAGTTATGACCAAAGCTAGGCCTACTGTAGCATTAAGTTAATATAAGCAATCAGCAGTGACATTTTAATTAGGGGTGTCAATATAGGTTTTGACACGCAGGTTGATCCATGACACGACACGAAAAATTCGTGTTCGGGTTGACCCGCAAAAAAATTCGTGTCGTGTTCGTGTTAGAAAAAATGACACGTAAAAAATTCGTGTCGTGTTCGTGTTGATGTATTCGTGTTCGTGTCGACTCGTATTTTTTAAAAATTATTTTATTTTTAATTTTTTATTATTATTTTTTAATTTTTTTTAATATCGATCCATTTTTTATTTTTATTTTTGTCAATTACCATTTTGACCCATATTTTGCGTGTTATTCGTGTTGTGTTGTGTCAACCCGCAAAAAATTCGTGTCGTGTCAGTGTTGAAGATTTTGACACGAATAAAAATTTGTGTCGTGTTAGTGTTGATGTATTCGTGTCGTGTCGACCCGTTTTGACACCCCTAATTTTAATCAATCTCACGCTAGTGTTTACTTGTCAACTTTTTTGTTATTTGTTGCTTTGCTCTCCTTAAAGCAAAGACAATGTTTGAAGGTTATCATCATCATTCTTGTTCCTGTTATGTAAAGTCATACCAATATCTTAGAGTACAATTGAAGAAGAAACTCTATTTGGCTTTTTAACTATCAAACAACATATATATCAAACATCTACCAAAAATTCTCTTACCACCACTCATTTACCAAATTCCGTTTGTTTTCAGAATGCAGCTCTCAGGGTCTATTGCTGCTTTACTTTTCTTAGTCATCTGGCCTTCCATATTCTATGGTGATTGCATATTTATTAGATCCATTTTTCTTAAGTTTTGAAACACTTAATTTTAGGCATGTTTGATTGTGTTCTGATTATTTTAGCTATTTTATAGAATAGTCAACGAAACGCATATTTTTTGTGTTTTTTTTTTTTTTTTGAAAGTTAAAAATCACATTAAAAACTGAAAATTACGTATAACTTTTAGAACTATTTTTACTAAATTGGCATTATCTAATAGATTTTTTTTATACTGAAAACTAAAACATTGTTTTTGGAAACAGAATTTAAACATATCCTACTTTTCTAATGAATCTTACTTGGTTTTACTTGGTACCAAGATGCCAAAACTGAATTTGGTTATGTATGTTCATTTTACATATGTTTATAGTTACATACATAAGTTGTGTAAAATTGTTGTATGATTGTAACATGTAAATCATATGCAGGGATTGTAGTGGCGCATCAAGTTACATTCTATGTGCAAAATAAATGCCCCTTCCCAATATGGCCAGCAACTGCACCAAACAATGGCCAACCAGTAATAGCAGGTGGTGGATTCTATCTTGCTCCAGGCCAAACTCAGCGTATTGTAGCACCATGGTCATGGAGTGGTAGGATTTGGGCTAGAACAGGTTGCAATTTTGCTTCAAATTGGAAACCTGCTTGTGAAACTGGTGACTGTGATGGAAGACTAGCTTGCAATGGACTCATAGGTACACCTCCTGTCACACTAGTTGAAGTTTCACTTCAAGGTGATAAAGGCAAGCCAAACTTTTATGATGTTAGCCTTGTTGATGGTTACAATATCCCAGTTTCTGTCACCCCAAAGATCATAAACCCCACATGTAGTAAGATTCAAGGGTGTTTGAAGGATCTTAAAAGCTTGTGCCCTCATGAGCTTGAGGTGTTGAATAACAAGGGTGAAGTTGTGGCTTGTAGTAGTGCTTGCTTGGCTTTTGATAATGACAAGTTCTGTTGTAGGAATGAATATGGTAGCCCTGAGAAGTGTAAGGCAAATGTGTACTCAAAAATATTTAAGGAAGTTTGTCCCAATTATTTTAGCTATGCTTTTGATACACCTAGTCCCCTGCGGACCTGTGGATCCTTAGAATATATAGTAACATTTTGTCCTTCTGGTTGGGGTGGTGCTGTTGAGCACAAATCTGAGTAATTGTTTAGGATCCTGTATTGGCTTGGCAGGATTGAAAGTTGGTGACAGAGTCACATTAGCATTTGATTCTTATGGCACTGTTTGATATGTTGCAATAAAATTGTGTACTCTGTATTGATTATTACTTAATATTGACACCTAAACATGATCTATGGAGGTTCTAATTTGTTGGCAGTATAACCATGTTCGCTTGAAAAAGGTGATAATCTAGTGGAATATAATCAACTGCTTCAATGAAATTTACAAAAATTATTTGCACCTATTATTTCTGAAGTAAATTGAGTTTGATTCACATCGTGGAGACTCATTGGCACCTAGAAATAGAACATGAAGTGTACGGTCTGATTGATTGTGTTTTAATTTTGTTCTTAAAATTGTTTTGTACAATAGTTAGTGAAATAAGTATTCTTTATTTTTATTTTTATTTTTTTTTGAAAATTAAAAGTCAAAACACAAAACAAAAACAAAAACAACTCATATATATTTTTTAAATTTAATTCTAAAAACAAAAAAAAAATATTACAATTTTTAAAATTATTTTTATAAAGAAGAATGTTATACTTATCACCTTTTTTTTACAACCTCTTACGACTATATCTTAATACCGTTGATTTTCGTCAATCAACTGTTATGATTTATTGTGAATTAATAATTAATTAATGAGTTTAATTTACGAAAATTATAATCGTTGATTGGCAAAAATCAACGGTGTTAAGATATAGTTGTAAGATGTTGTAAAAAAAAAAAATTGTAAGTATAACATTCCTCTTTTATGAAATAGGACATATCAAACAAGTTTTTCTGTTTTTTATTTTATTTTTATTTTGAAAATCAAAAAACTGTTTTTCAAAATAGATTTCAAACCTCAGAAACCTAGATGTTTAAATAAGTTTCAGCAAAATAAGTGCAAGCTGACTCTAATTATTACGTTAATTTGATTTGGATTCTGTTAAGATTTGGATTTTTAAGATGTTGATACACTTACCACTTAGCTATAAATAGTTAAATTCATAGCTCTAATAATACATCATTTGAATTGGGGCAATCGTAATTTTATTATTTACGAAAAGTTAAATTCATAATTCATTCTGATCCTTTTTTTTTTCTCATCTCTTTATGACCAAGTAAGAAAAAGGAAATAAAGAGTGATTTTAGTGAGAGTACATATATGGTTGGAGTCTATTTGGGCCTGGGTCGGGCTGAATTTGCGGGTTTGTTGTTTGGGTCGGACTGTGTTTGAATTTTTTTTTTCAACAAACAAAAGTGCTTTGAATTAGGCTACTTGTTATGGGCAGAAGTGAAAAGAGTTGAGTTTTCCTTTGTTATTATTATTATTATTATAATAAAATAATTTCTCATGTTTAAACAAAATTATGTTACGCAACACACAAAAGTAGATGAGACCCAATCAGAAGGAGAGAGAAAAAAAATAAATTTTGCTTATTTTTTTACGTGTGCACGAGATAATATGAGAAATAATATTCCCATAAAAAAATATAGTCAAAATAAGGAGTGTATTTTTTCTAGACAAGGATATGTTATTGGGCCACCCAGATTAAAAAAGAAGAGGGATTAGCAGTTTAGAAAACTCTTAACACCAAGTTCATGGTCAAAGAGTAGCCATTAAGAAATGAATGGAGCAGATATAGACATTTACTTAATCTATGAAGTGCATCCTTCGTTTAACAGGAATCAAATTCCTTAATTTTTCATGGTAGGCCTATGTTCAGCCGTGTTGATGTCTCAAATACTACAAAACTTACAAAAAGGCAAAGACTAAATCCAAAATTTTATTCCATCTCATCATAATTACAAAATTAATATACACAAATTTAACCAGTGATATTGTTATCTTGTCCACAAGACAATTGGGTTCTTTCAGATATATTGCAGTAATTAATCTTTTCATCTATTTAAAAAAAAATTATTAGTAAATGTGAAACTATATAGTATATATAAATTAGCCATACCATGCTCATAAGTTTGATATCAACACACTACTAGTACATTCACTCCAATCAAAGTTTGTTAAAATTAATGTTAGCTAGTGTGAATATTAAATTAGCATAATTTGTATATAAAAGAACTTTCCGAGAGGGATATATACTTATTGTATGCCTGATTTGAATATAAAAAGGTTCTTTTTAAAGGGACATTCAAACATGGTTAACTCTCTTTTTCTTTAATTAAAAATCAATTAACCTTCTTAATGTAATAGTTTCAAGGAACGTATTTTTCGATCCTGCATCATGAATTATTATTAAAATAGTAGAACTCATTTTCATTTTTCTATGTCAACTTTAAATTATTAAAAATACATGGAGTGTATTTAAAAATTTCGCTGCCGACCACAAAGAGAATGTAATACAAAAGAAGAAAGGAGGAGACTTAGGCCTTCTTTGAATTCTGCTTTGAAAAGTAATTTTTTAATTTAAAAAATAAATAAAATTTATTTAATAATACTTGTTTTGTAAAAATAGTTTTAAAGATTATAATTATTTTTTTGAATCAAATTTAGATAATATATTTTAATTATTTTTGTTTTGTATTTTAACTTTTAACTTTTAACTTTTAAAATAAAATAGAAAGCGAATTACTAATCTCATATTATTGGAGATAGTACTCTTATGTGTCTCATGTGGGTGAAATAAATATCTGAGTCCACAATTAAAAGAAAAAAAATTAACATAAAATTCTATAAATATATAACATAACACAGCTTTTTTTATGTAACATAAGGTTTATATTTTATTTTCCATACAAAAAACACCAATTTCGTTCACTATTATACAAAATAATATTAAAACTAAAAAAAAAAAAAAGCATAATACCATCAAACAAAACGGTCCTTAACCTTTGTTTTTTTGGACTATTTACGATTGCTTGTTTTTATAGTTGAATAGAAGTCAATAATATAGTTAAAGCTTCCAAAATGGTACAATGAAAATAGTGAATCGTATATGAAAATCTGACGGTCATTAAAGCATTTGAATGGTCAGTAATGACAGCTGAATGCAAGACCGAAAACACATGGAGTCAATATGAATCACATGTCGTCAATAGGAAAGTCACACGAAAACAAACGGTGCTTACTTAGTTTTTGCAAGTTAAGTTTTCTTAATAAACTTGTGTGAGGGGCAAGAAAAGAAGACCAAACCACTACATTTTCCTACTTATAAAACTACATCACTTGAGTGGGGTTGAACACAGAAAAAAGAGAGAATAATAACCCAAAAATTTTCATAGAAAATAGTACTAGTGAGTGCAAGGATGATGGGGATTGGGCAAATATGGTCACAACTAGGCTCAATTATGGCTAGCATCATGTTTGTCTATGCCATGTTTGAGCAATTCTTCCCACCCCATCTTCGAACTTATGTTAGAAAATACACTCAGAAATTCACAGGCCTTATGTACCCTTACATCCAAATCAAATTCCCTGAGTTCTCTGGTGAACGCCTCAAGAGAAGTGAAGCATATTCTGCCATCCAAACATACCTCAGTGCAAACTCTTCTCAAAGTGCCAAAAAGCTCAAAGCTGAAGTGGTCAAGGATAGCCAGACCCCACTTGTGCTTAGCATGGATGACAATGAAGAGATCAATGATGAGTTTCAAGGGGTCAAAGTTTGGTGGACTGCAAACTCCACCACACCTAAAACACAGTCAATTTCATGGTACCCTACTTCAGATGTTAAGAGGTACTTAACTCTCACCTTCCACAAAAGCTACCGTGACATCATTACAGGGTCTTATATCCAACATGTGTTGGAAGAAGGGAAGGCTATTGCATTGAAGAACAGGCAATTGAAGCTTTACACCAACAATCCAAGCAATCATTGGCATGGATACAAGAGTACAAAGTGGAGCCACATAACATTTGACCACCCTGCAAGGTTTGAAACACTTGCTATGGATCCAAAGAAGAAGGAAGAGATTATAAATGATCTTGTTAAGTTCAGAAATGGAAAAGAGTACTATGCCAAGATTGGGAAGGCTTGGAAACGTGGTTATCTTTTGTATGGTCCACCAGGAACAGGTAAGTCTACTATGATAGCTGCCATGGCTAATTTCATGAACTATGATGTGTATGATCTTGAATTAACAGCAGTGAAGGAAAACACTGATCTAAGAAAGCTGTTGATTGAAACATCTAGTAAATCAATTATAGTTATTGAAGACATTGATTGCTCTCTTGATCTTACTGGTCAAAGGAAGAAGAAAAAGGAAAAAGATGAGGATGATGGTGAGGTACCAAAAAATCCTATTAAGAAAGATGAAGAAGAAGAGAATAAGGGAAGTAAGGTAACTCTATCTGGGTTATTGAACTTTATTGATGGGATTTGGTCAGCTTGTGGAGGAGAAAAGATCATAATTTTCACAACCAACTTTGTAGAGAAACTTGATCCTGCTCTTATTAGGAGAGGAAGGATGGACAAGCACATTGAATTGTCCTATTGTTGCTATGAAGCTTTCAAGGTGCTTGCCAATAACTACTTGGATGTTGAATCACACAGTTTGTTTCCAACTATTGAGAAGTTGTTGGGTGAGACCAACATGACACCTGCTGATGTTGCTGAGAATTTGATGCCTAAGTCAATCACTGAAGATTCAGAGACTTGCTTGAAGAATCTGATTGATTCTCTTGAAAAGGCCAAAGATGAGGCCAAGAAGAAGGCAGAGGAGGAAGCAAAGAAAAAGGCTGAGGATGAAGAAGCACAATTGAAGCCTGAGAAAGAAAAAGAACAGTTGGGTCAAGAGGAAGAGGTGAAACCTAATGGAAAATCTAAGGAAGAGGTGAAAGAGAATGGAAAATCTAAGGAAGATGTCAAAGCTAATGGAAAATCTGAGGAAGAGGTGAAAGAGAATGGTACCATCTATTAATTTCAAAGATATGCATGCTCTGCATCTTTTTTTGTTTGTTTGTAAAATCGTAGTTGAATTATGCTGATCTAATGTAGTTTTAATTGCTTTTCCTTTGTTATCAAGGTAATAAATTGAAT